TTTTCTTTTTCTATTTTTTTTCTCCTCTCTCCTTTAATCCGAGACTTAAGATTCCCTGGACATGTGAATTCTCTTTGGCGTGCGTTTACATTGATCTTGTCGCGGACCACCGGGATATTACTGAGATCTTTTCTCTAACAGATACTATGTGCTCCTTTGCTAGCCAAGCAGCCTGCCTGAAACTTCAGGAGAAACACAAAAATCTGTGTGTTTTCGTGATGAGGCATGAGTCGTGAATCTTTTTCATGCAAATATACTGGCTGTGCAAGACTCAGCCTTTCCCAAGAAAAAGAAAAGTGAGTGCCTCCATTAACGGCATTATCTGCCTCTACTGAATGTGCTTATTCCCCAGTTCCTTTACCCTTCTGTGAGYGTTGAATGGGCAATGCGAGGGAGATGCTGTCCGTAATTAGCGCTGATGACTCCGCCTTTGATGTTCTCGGGCGCGGGATGGAAGCGTTTCGAGAACTCCCCGCGGCGGAAGGGACGGAGAGATTGAATGAAGGAGAGGGGGAGGCCGGTGCTGCTCGGTACGATCCCTTCTGCGAACTTCTTCCTTAGTCCTATGTCTGTGTTACGGTTTTTTTGTTTGTTTGTTTGTTTTTTTCTTGTTCTTTTTCTGTGTACCGCGAGAATTTGCGTTGGGCATTTGGTAGCAGTGCTGTGGGTGAGTCTTGTCGTCAGCAGTGATGCTGGGATTTTGCGTCACGTTCTGCAGCTGTCGGGATTGTGATGTTGGGGCCTCCTCCTTCTCAGACACGGATTCTAGYGGGACTTAGAACAAGACCGATCAAACACTCGTAAGTCGAACAATCTCTTGGCACTGTGGCAATGGCCCTGAGTGAAACCTGTTCTCCTGTTTTGAAATGTGATGTTGAGCCTTATCCGAGGGATGTGGAGATACTGGGATCAACATGGCACATGGCATTGCCAAAGGAGAAGGATGGAGGGCGGGAGGGAAATAACTGCTTGTTGTTCTGACACTTCATTTTCCTCTGTATGCTGTTGAGGATGCTTGGGGAAGATCCTTAGGCTCTCTGGATGGCTAGTGGTGCTTGTTGTGGGGTATGTTGTTTGTAACCTCATTTTCTTGCTCTCCTGTATGGTATTTGTTAACTGCACATTGTACCCGAATCTTCTGAACAGCAGGGAAAAGTCTGTGTGTATTCCTGCAGAAGCATGAGCCATTAATCCTTCCCATGCAAATATGTTCTTTATGGAAGCCCCAGTCGTGGCCAAGGAAAGGAAGGAATAGAAGATTTAAGAGAAAGTAAGTGACTGGCATCGTTAAGCAACGTTATTTGCCTATATGTAGTCCTGTTATTCTGTAAGCAATTAGGAACACTACCAGTGAAGAAATGATTTCAGAGTATTGACAAGATATGGGCTATCTTTTCTCTTGGTCACTGGAGATTTTGCTTAGAATCTATTCTGAAAGAATGGTCTATTTTAATTTGCTGAAGAAGCAGCCACAGATGCCTGTGTTCCTTTATAGACTTGGGATCTTTAACTTGGATGGCTGCATTGTTGACTGGGTTATGCCTGCGAAGTTGGCCCAGCCAGCAGCAATTGTGAGTGAGCTCAYGTCTTCCATGTCACTTGTAGTTATACACAGGGTGAGGGATGACAGGAAGCACGTGGGATTGAATGTGGGAGGCTGTCTGGTGGGTTTATTTCAGTGAATGTGGATGTTCACTCTTCCAGAGTTGAGATGTCCTCTAATAGAGTGAAATCCGTGCTGTTTGTCACAGAATCATGGAGCGGTGGACGCTGGAAGATATCTGCAGAGGTCGTGTAGTGGAAGGCCTTCTGCTGAGCATGGCAAGCTGGAGCACGCTGAGCAGAGCTATGTGAGGCTTTTGATAGTCATATGGAAACTCCACAAAGTCTAGATAACCTGTTCCAGTGCTCGCTATAAGGAAGTGCTTCCTCATACCCGGAAGGAACATCTTGTGTTTCAGTTAAGGCCTGTTGCCACTTGTCCTCTTTTTGGGCATCCCTGCAAAGGGCCTGGCTGTATCTTATTTATCTCCTCTCTCCGCTTTCATATAAACGTTGATTTGATTCCTCACGACCACGCAACAACTTCCTAGTCTCTGTTCTCTGGAATGAACAGGCCTAGGTGTCTCAGCCTCTCCTCACAAAAGACATACTGCAGTGCCTTAATCATACCGTTGGTCTTCTTGGACAAAAGGGGGGCACCTTGCTGGCTCCTGGTGAATGTGTGGCCTACCAGCATTCCCAGGTCCTTCTCTGTGGCTGCTCTCCAGCAGGTCTGCCCTGGCATCCACTGCTGTAAAGGTTTATTTCTCCATAGCTGCAGGACATAAGTCTTGTCCTTAATGAAATTTCCATTGCCCCATTTCTCTAGTTGTTCGAAGTCCCTCTGAATGGCAACAAAGCCACCTGATGTATCTATTCTATACTGTTGTTCAGCAGTTTTTGTTCCTTYGTTATAAAATCTTGAAATGTCTTTTTGCTGTTTCATTTGCTTGAAAATGTATGTTTGGTATGATCTATCTCTTGTCTATTTCTTTAATGATRTTATGTCATTAGTGTGAGGCTGAAGATCTGCAGAAGACCTGGGCGTGAGAAAATTAGGGTGGCAGGTGTTGTCCAGCAATTTCTTGGCACTGTGGCAATGGTGCTGAATGAGGCCTGGGTGATCATAAGCAGTGCAAAACCCTGCCTGAGGGATGTGGTGATGTTGGGGAGGACGTGGCATGTATCATAACCTAAAAAGGGGAGAATGTCTTCTTGTGAGAACTCATTTCCCAAAGMGGTATGGTGAAGATGCCTGGAGAAGAGCCCGAGACAAGAAAGTTTTTCACAAATAGTCATCAGTGATTGTTTTGCAGTTGCAAGAGTTTGGAGTTGCAGGAGTCCTGATCTTGAGATGGTACTTGGTGTTGAAAAGCACTCCTGTCCTTTCATTGTGTCTTCCTTAACAAAGAAGTTTTGAAGGGCAGCAAAGCCTCCTGATGTATCAGCCACTGCTCCCAGATTYTGCATGATTAGCAAACACAGTGAGGCTGCACTCTGTCCCTTCCTTAAATGTCTCTTTTCATGTCCYATTTAATGTCCCATTTTCATGTCCCTTTATTTTCATTGTATGAATGACTTAAGCAAGATTGGGCCCRGTATGAACCCCTAGGAGACACCGCTGGCTGTAGGTCTCCAACTAGACATTGCACCACTGATCACTGGTGTTTGAGCAAGTGGGGTATCTCCTTTACAAATTCTGTTGGTCAGTAGGCATTTTAGCTATGTTTGTTCCTTTGTTGGAAATCATAAAATGTCTGTTTGCTGATTCATTTGCTTGAAAATGTATTTGGTACATATTGGTACAATCCATATTTTTTATGGTGACATTTTTACTGTGAGTCTAAGGATCYGCAGAAGACCATGTCAGCCTGGGAGCGGGAAGCTGAGGGTGTTGTTTGTCGTCCAGCAAACTCCTGGAACTGTGRCAACAGTGCTAAGTGAGGCCTGGGTGATCATGAGCAGTGCAAGGCCCTGCCTGAGGGACGTGGTGATGTTGGGGAGGACATGGCATGTGTCATAGCCTCAGAAGGGGAGTATGTCTGCTTGTCTTGAGTCCTCATTTCACAAAGTGGGATGTTGATGATGTCTGAAGAAGAGTCTGTGTCAAGAGAAGTTTTTCAGGGATGTTTGTCAGTGATCACATCGCAGTTACAAGAGCCTGGAGTTGGAGGTCTTACTGATCTTAAGAGGCTACTTGGTGTTGAAAAGCAACTTGGTTAATGGAAATCAAGAAGGAAGAGTCCTGAGAGKTTTTGCCTGACTTCTACTTATTAGTCCCCACCTGTGAAAAGCAGGAGGGAGCTCCAGCTGTTCTCTGCATACTGCTGCAACAGACATAGTTCATGGTCAGTTGGCATCGTTGTTTGTTATCTTGAATATTTTATTCCTTGTGTGTTTTCCTGTGTGCTATTTGTGTCACAGGAGTACAGGTTTCCCTCTCTGGCATTCCGTATGGCTACACATTCATGCTTATCCGTGTTACATATTGTCATTATGCTAGAGCTGGCAAACCTGTTAAATTAGTCTTTGCTGTAACAGAATGCTTACACAGTGCCTTGAGAAGTACTTTTTCCCCTATGACCACTGTATCACTCAACTTAGTGGTGCGAGTGGAAAAGGTTCATTTCTGCTCTGGGAAGGAGCGCTAGCTTTACTTATGTCTTCTGAAGTGAGATATGTCTTTGATAAAGCCTCAATTCCAGGACGGTGCTAATGTACATAGTTCCTTACAGGGTAGTGGCAGAAGAGGGAACCCCAAGGTAAGTGTGGGAAGGGAATATATGTTGCTCTCTCATGCAGAATATATTGGTTGAGAACCTGTTTTCAGTCCTTGGATCCTTGATGAAAGCTCAT